TCTATTTTTTACCAGCCTTCATGCAGAGATCACACTAAGAAAGTCTTCAACTTCCTTTTTGCTAGTTTGGCTGAGAAAAATTCTTTGGCTGAGAAAGAATGCTTTTTAAACTCTCCTGTTTCCTATATGAAGAAGATGGAGAGGAAAAGACCTTGTTTTACAGAATCCCAGAAAATCACTTGACTTTTGCACAGAATTTTCATGGAGAAGGAAGTAATCAGAAAAGACAAAATATTGTCCTTATTTATAAAAGAAAGTTAATATGTGGACCTATGTATTTCTGATTATTGTAACTTTTCCCCTCCTTTCATTTCTCTCACCTTTGTTTTCTTTTAGGCACAAGTAGGAAATGGCGGCGATCATTTAAAGTGCAGGTCCAGGAATCAGGAATTTTACTTTTTTTTTTTTCCAAAAGACTTCCTGTGCAGCCACAAATAAACATTTTAACCTCTACGTCATTTCTTACACTTGATAAAAGAACTTTACCTTCATGCAGGACTGTGAGAATGAAGACCTTAAGCCCACTCTAGGAGAGGATCAGGTTTGAGGTCATCTGAGGAACCTGAATGTGCACAAGTCCATGGGTCCTGATGAAATCCATCCGTGGGTCCTGAAGGAGCTGGAGAATGAAATTGCTAAGACACTGGCAATCATATTTGAAAAATCATGGCAGTCAGGTGAATCTCCCAACTACTGGGAAAAGGGAAATATAGCCCCCATTTTCAAGAAGGGGAAAATGGATGACCTGGGGAATTACAGACCAGTCAGTCTCACCTCTGTGCCTGTCAAAATCTTGGAGCAGATTCTCCTGGAAGGCATGCTAAGGCACATGAAAAACAACAAGGTGTTTGGTGATAGCCAGCATGGCTTCACTAAGGGTGACCTGCCTGACCGATTTGGTGGCCTTCTATGATGGGGCTACAGAACTGATGGACAGTAGTAGAGCAGTTGATGTCATCTACCTGGACTTGTGTAAAGCATTCGACACTGTCCCACACAACATCTTTGTCTCTAAATTGGAAAGACATCAATTTGATGGATGGACCACTCGGTGGATAAAGAACTGGCTGGATGGCCGCACACAGAGAGTTGTGGTCAATGGCTCAATGTCCGGCTGGAGACCAGTAACGAGTGGTTTCCCTCAGGGATCTGTATTGGGATGGATCCTGTTCAACATTATTGTCACTGACATGAGCAGACAGAGTGTGCCCTCAGCAAGTTTACCAAAGACAGCAACCTGCGCGGTTCGGTTGATACGCTGGAGGGAAGGAATGCCATCCAGAGGGACTTGGACATGTTTTTAGAAGGATTTGGATTATTTTCCTCCCTTTCTCAAAAACTACTTCTGCTGTATCACCCCACACAATAATGTCATTGATGTATTGCAGGTGTTCTGGAGTTAGATAAAAGAACTTGTTCCAGTGCAGTCTGGACCAGTCCATGGCAGATGGTAGGGCTGTGTTTTCACCCCTGGGGCAGTCAGTTCCAAGTGAACTGGACGCCCCTCCTAGTAAAAGCAAACTGCGGCTTGCACTCCACTGCCAAAGGAATATATGAACATCTTCCTTCATTATCTAGTCCCTAATACTGTGTGGCTTATTTTGGCATTGTTACTAACATCTTAAAATGCCAAGAAAAGCAGACTAGTAAATGAAGGATTAAATAGTGGGTTAAGAAGCATTCATTCCTCTTATTCACAGAACTATTCTAATGTTATAAGATACCAGGATTTTTCAAGCTAACCTGTAATCTTATCGAAGAAGATTTTCGAGTGAAGCTGTGTTAAATCAAGATCATGAGGCATGTGAATGTGGTTTAGAAGACAGATGGACTTTTTTATTTCCTGTTCTAGAATTTTGATTGTGGCCCTCTTATAATTTTACTGCCTTCATCAGATTGCCACTTTTCCCTGCTGCATGCATCAACTACTTCATTTACGCAGCAGGACTTCAATATCCAAACAAGATCTAACCTCTAAGCAGAAAAAACTGTTCTAGAAATCATCCTAGAACTTAACAGATGTAGACCACTTGCTACCACTTCTGGTTTATTGCTGAATCATCTCCTTTTATTCCTTCCCAAGGGATACCTTCCATGGTTTAGCCTCTAATATTCTACCATCCTTCTATGTTTATCATTGTGCTTCAGGAATTGTATCCATAGTTATGAAATAATGAAGGATTCAGCTTTACATACTTACCTGTTCCACAAGTATGGAACTAGTTGTCTAAAGGCAAGAAAATTCATTAACACCGTATACCTTATTCATTTTAATAATCTAATTTGGAAAGTCTTTTCAGGGGTAAATGGACCTGAGAAACAAGTGAGAGATTATCCATATTCATACAGATGAGCCTTACACAACAAGAAAACAGGGCCAACCTGCTGAGACTAGTTTGTAGATTACCACAGACCCATCAGATCTGGAAACAAATCCCACCGATTACGTCAGCATATGGTGGAATACCTGCATATGGTGGGAATACCTATCTTTTACGCAGAGTTTTCAAACATAGGAAACAATCTTATTGTTTTATAGAGGTTGGGGGAGGTTTAATCATGACACATTTGTGATTCAACAGTAAAAAAAGTTTTTCCTCTTTAATTGTTGCACATCACTGTTTTTTAATATAAATGCTGCCCCATTTCTCTAAATATTTCTTAAACTGAGAATCAGTTATATCATGACTTGAGCTGTATAATGTTTTTCTCAACTGTATGGAGAGATACACTCAGAATGTCATATCTATAATTTTACAGAGAGAGACCTGTCTTCTCAGGAGCCTTTGTTCCATTTTTCTGGATAAATTTCAGTATAACTTATGCAGTTTATAATATATTTATGCTGTTTATAATATTATAAATAATATACTGTGAATAACAGTACAACACTGTGGACATTGTAAAATATTGTTTTCCTCCCAGATAGCCAGAATTTTACTATAAGCCTGCTTGGGTGCCTGAAGAAACAAGTAAGCATGAGAAGACAGTTATGGAGAAGGGAACAGCAGGCTAGAAACATTGGGAATACCTGTCTTAGGTACAACTGCAGCTTTCTAGGATCAATGGCATTTGCACCTCATTCAGGACAAAAATTTGGCACTCTCTTCATCTAATCATTAGAATCCCACAGCTGAACTTGTTAATGAAATACTCTCTCAGTTAAAAATAAAAAAAAAACCCAAAAATACTGAATATGAATGTGGAAGAAAGGCAATTTGATGTTTGTAATTATCGAGGCAAACTCCATGACCTGCTGAATGTATGCAAAATGGACCCTGGATGGTGTATATAAAACTGGCATGTGCAGAGAATAAGAGCAAGTATTGAGACTTCTTTCTGGTAGAGCAAGTCATCATACAGGATCTCTACCATGAGCAATAAGGAGGCTTCACTGAAAGGTAAGACTTCTGTAATTCACTTGGTGATAACTTTTTTATTTCTTAAATTTAGATTGAATTAGGAAGTAACTGAAATGTAACAGCTCTAGAAACTGAGGTCTTCCAGTGAAACATCATAGAATCATAGAATCAATCATAGAATAGTTAGGGTTGGAAAGGACCTTAAAGACCATCTAATTCCAACCCCCCTGTAACACTAACATGTCTCCATCTCAAATATTTAGTGTCCAAACCTTGGAATTAGAAAGCAGCTTGATCTGTTTTTGGCTTAATTTGTTTATCCTAAAATTACATTTGCGTTGGACAAAGATAATTGGCTTGAGAAATGTGACACTTCCACATGAAAGACTGGATTCAGATTGCTTTGCTACACCATTCAGAAGGTAATGACTAGAAGTCATTATCCAAAAGTCTAGAAGTGATATAGTAATTTTGAAGTGAAAGTTTTTCCAACTACTTTTAACTTCCTGGGCCAACAAGTCTCAGGCTTTCTCATTCACAAAATTGTTCCCCAACGAACTTTCCTAACTGCAGCATGAGGCAGCATGTATCCTGTTCATGGGAGAGGAGGAAGAGTTACTTCAATATTGTGTAAATGCACTTTTCTTGAATTTAAAGCTAGAAAGAAACCTATCAGAGGATAACATTGGTGACAGCTCTGCTACCTGATTTGTGGAGCATTTCATTTAGCATTTAAGACAAGTCTAGGGGATGCATATAGGTGGCAGACCAATTTCCAGAACTAAAACTGTCAGAGTACAGAACAGTGTTCTTTAAATAAGTTCATTCATTTACCAATGTGCTTTTCATTTTTCCATTGTTTTTCTGCATATTTTATTTCACTGAATAAAAGACTTGTTTCTTAAGTTAAGGTTAAAAATTTTAAACAGAGGGGGTTTTGTGGTTTAGATAATAAAACCTCCTCTATATCAGTTTCAGAAGCTCAGGAGAAAAGTCAAAAGTTCTCCCTGGTTCCTTAGCAGTAAGCAGTTTAGGGTTAAACTCTAACCAGCAAAGCAGCACAGCTGCTAGAAATCTTCTGAAGGAGCTCCCAGGACAACCAAAACCTTAAGAGAGTGACCTAACCACCCTCCCACAAAACTAATTTAAGCTCCAAATGTCTGCAATGAAGGAAAGGACATGTGGGAGAAGGGGGGGCGGGAACAAAAAGGAGAAAACAAGCAAACAAAACAACCAAACCAATCCATTTTCCAAACTTATATATGTGTGCAAATATAATTATGTATCTATGTTTACACTGTGAAGAACTTTGATTTGTTGCTTCTCCCATTTATCGCTATGTAATAAAGTCAGGCATAATAGTAAGAGATTTTGGAATACATGTACACTGCAACACGAGTTATCCTGTCTCCTCAAAGCTCTGCTGTACAGTCAGGATAACAATGGGGGGAAAGGATAACAGAATTACAGTGCTTTCCTCCTCCATTAATTTTCAGCAGCCAGTACAGGGGCTACTCTGAGCTACATGACAGCACAGCCAAAATCACCCTGCTTCTGGCTCTGACAGCTACTTCTAAGTGCACATACAAATCAGTATGATTCCATTTTTGTTTGTTTTAAATGTGAACAGGTTTATTGCTGGCAGCCCTTCTGGTGTCCAACATGCTCCTGACAAAAGAAGGAGTGACTTCCTTACCAATCTGCCCCAATGGATCTGTCAATTGCCAAGTTTCCCTCGAGGAACTTTTTGACCGAGCAGTTAAACTCTCACACTACATACATTTCCTCTCTTCAGAAATGTTCAATGAATTTGTAAGTACTCTGCCTTTTCCTGAGAGCAAGAAAATAGCATAAATAGATTCAATAATTTTTAAGCACAAACATATGTTAGCACATAAAATAATTCAATTAGTAAACAAACATGACTGCTGCACAGACAGTGATAATCCCAGTGGTGACCAAATCTGTGTATAATGCTAACCATTGCTAAGAATTCCAGCAGTCCTATTAAAAGATACCATTTTCCCATCATTCTTTATCTGTGAGACAAGGTAGTGTTTGCTGGGTACCAGTTTCACACTAAAGACTCACCAGAAACTTTGGACCTTTACAGCATAAAAGCAGAGATAAGAACAATGGAACAACAATTAGTTAATACAATGTTTGAAATTAAACTTTTTTTACTTATCTGTTTCAATAACGCCTGTGCTTGCTGATCTGCAGGATGAACGCTATGCTCAGGGCAGAGGTTTTATTACAAAAGCTGTTAATGGCTGCCACACTTCCTCCTTAACCACCCCTGAAGATAAGGAGCAGGCTCAGCAGATTCATGTAAGTCCCATTTCTAATGTCATTCAGCATGAGATAGATCAGGGGCAGTGAGAGAAGCGGGAGGGCTAAGGAATAGAGGCAGCATACAGAAAGAGAGGGAAATCAGCTCAACTGGAGCAAAAAGCCAGGAAGAAGAAAGCACCAAAAAGCCAAGAAAAATTTATTTAACATTTGCTGATACTGAGTTACAAACTATATAGAATATGTAAGTACTGGTAACTTTCATCTTCCCTTCTGTTTCCTGCATATTACAATCAGTCATTGCATCTCATTTCCAATTACAATACGAAGCAATGGAGCAATGCCTGTTACCGTGCTTATACCGTACTGAGAACACTACAATCCTTTAACATTATCATAAAACACTTTATAGACAATTATTATATTAACAAACATAAAAATACATTTGCTGTATAGTGAATACTGTATGTAGTCAGAGGTAAACAGTTTTCCAATAACTGAAAACACTGATATTACTAAGCAAATGCTAAAAAGATATCTTTGATATTACCAGTAAGAAAAAGTGATCATATCATCATCCAAATACAAAGACTTTAGTGTGAAATACTACAATACTTGTAAAGAGAAACATGCTATATATGTCAAATTAATAATTATAAACTTAAGATGAAGATAGTCTTGCTCAGCCTGTGCTCACAGGTACAAATGGAAAATACTCTAGAGAAAAAAATAAACACAAGTGTATGAATGGGTATGTACCAGTGAGAAATCTTTACCAAGTTCATGGTGATGATATCCCTGCAATCTCCAGTATCACCATCCTCTCAGTATGTCATTCTGAAATTCTATTTGGAGCAATAGAATTCAGAGCCCTGGGTATGTAAGAGATCTGGTAGTGTTCAGGTCCAGTAGATCTAGCAAAGAAAAGTTTGAATACTACAGTGATCATAAGCATTATGAATGTTTATTGCCCAGAAAAAAGGACAAATTTAAAAGCAAGAAAGATATTGCTGGGAGCACCATTGTTCAAAGGGGAGGACAGATGAGTTACGTAGAGGCAATAAAAGCTATTTAGTGGTCTACCATAACGTTAACCATCCATCCACTTAGTACTAGACTTAAGAGCAAACAAACAAAAATAATTATTGGATTTTAAAGTGCTCATCAACATCAGACAAGAAGCTCTGTTTTGGGTTTGTTTTTTTTTTTTTTTTCAGATTTGTGTTTGCTAGTTTTTAATGTAGAGGATGTTTAATGATATTTTCCATCATAGTATTGCAGCTACTTGTGTTAATGTTTTAAAACAGGATGACAGCAATGATAAACTTCAAAAATGCAATTGCATGGAAGTATCTAAGACAGGACTATAGGGCACAATCAGCTGTAGGTCCTGGAATAAATTGCAGAAATCACTATGTCTGCGGACAATGGTTCTAAGTGCCTCCTATGTTGCCAGCATTTAGCCTTCCTATTTTAACTGTTTTTTTCTTAACGTGGGTAAGCAGCATGAAGACCTGCTGAATTTAATACTGGGAGTGCTGCGCTCCTGGAATGATCCCCTGATCCATCTGGCCTCTGAAGTACAAAGAATCAAAGAAGCTCCAGATACTATCCTCTGGAAGGCTGTAGAGATTGAAGAGCAAAACAAGCGGCTTCTAGAAGGAATGGAGAAAATAGTAGGGAGGGTAAGTGTTAGGTCCTTAACATCCTTCCACTCTGTTGCTGTAAGGAAGACTCATGTAGTGATAGGCCCTCCCTACCTGGAATTGGATAGGAAACAGACAATGTTTAGGAAAAAATGTGAGCCAGCACAGCTGAATTTGAGAACTTTTCAGCTTTCTTCTTTCAGCTTTCTTTTCTGCTGCTATCTAGTAATTTCTAAAGAGACAATGTGATCTGACTGGCTTAGCAGTGTATTCTTAGTCCTGCTTCAAGAGAAGGTGTAACCATTAACACTGGTAATTGCCATTCAATCTTTGACTATTTAGAATTTGTAATCCTGATTCTTTTAAGGATGCGTGTGTTTTTTTCATATGTACCTTTTATGTTTTAGCATGTTTATACACACCTGTATACATACAAGTATTGCATAGAGTTTCCAGAAGCAGATGCTGAGGTTAAAACTTTTCTGGAAGTCTGGGCTATTGCAAAGTTGTGGCATACAACAAAGTTAACTGTGGTATCTCATTTCTCTTTTCCCACCATATTGGCTCCTCTGAACTCTGGCTATGACTTGGTTCCCCCCACACTTGTAAGGTTAGAAAGCAAGGCTGTTTTCTGACAAAACCCATACTCGAATACCCCTTGTTATCAGTAATTGATTGAAAGCTTTACTGAATAAAATCAGCTCTAGCATGTTTATTTTTTAAAGGGGCCTCTGTTAGTCCCTGAATATATCATTCTGTCAGTGAGCTAGATGTTAACAAGGGGTTCTGATTTTACTGGCTTTTACTTAGGCTCTGAACATTTGAACAGCATTAAGAGTGCTACCATCACTGTATCCATCACTTTCCATCACTCATGGTCTCTTTCTTTCACTTAGGTGTCTCTTTACTCAGAAATCTTAGCCCATCCAGGCCACAAATGCATTTATCAGTGTAATCAAATACATCTCTGCCCCATATCCACGAGTAAAAAGGGTGCAGGCAAGGATCCAAGATAACAGTTGAAGTCAGGTGCTAATACAGTTACACTGTCATCACCTTCTCATTCACGTTATTTACAGAAGGAGATTGAAGACAAGGCTGGCAAATTCATTAGTGTCAAACCACATTTTGGAGTGATAGTAGGTCTCCTTTTTTTTTTTTTTTTTTTTTTTTGCCTGTTGCTTAAACAGAGTGATAGAGGCTCCACAGATATTCTCTTATGTGCTTTTACAAAGTACAGCTGGTGGGGAATAAGGAAGATACACAAGCACCGATAGCCACAGACATCCTTCCAGCTATGAAATATGAAAGGCAGATTTTTCTGATATGAAAAAAATCAACTATTGCTTCTTTCAAGGAGACCTAAACCAATCTTTACCCCAGATACTGACTTACTACATGAGGTCCTACACATAGCTCTCTAATATTGGATGTCACTGTATCACTTAGCTTTTTCGTAGAATCTGAAGTACAGTACATCTGGAGATGTACTGTTGAGACATTTGTCTGGTAACGTGCTCCTGCAGCTACCTGTATCACAGAGAAATCACCTAAGACATGGGTCGAGATAAATCTGGAGATACACAGAAAGAGGTTTAGGAACAAGTGTTAACAAAGATTTCAAGGTGTAAGGAACCAAAAAGAGATGTCACTGACGAGTCCATGCATGAAGAGAGGTTTGATTTCTTTGCAGATTCCTCTGGACATTGGTTAACACACTACTTCTCTTAAAACACTGTTCATACAGTTAAGCTTTTTACATATTTTAGGGAAATAAACTGGAAAATCTGACAAATTCATTCAAAATCTTCATAAAGATAGAAAACATTTTACAGAATAGTGGGAACCATAACAGGAAACACCTTCCAAGCCATACACTAGCAACTAGCATTCACTAAGGTCAGTATTTTAGATGCTCTGTTCTACATCTAGCCAGATTCACTATCATTTATTACAGTATCTTTTCATGTCTTTAGGTTCATTCTGGTGAGATTGGAAATGAAATTTACTCTCCATGGGAAGGCCTTCCTTCTCTGCAACTCGATGATGAGGACTCCAGACTCTTTGCCTTTTACAACCTGTTGCATTGCCTCCGCCGAGATTCCCACAAAATCGACAACTATCTCAAAGTTCTGAAGTGCCGCCTAATCCATGATAGCAATTGTTAATTGCTCATGGGCCTGATCACTTACCGAAATCATTCATCATGATGTTCTTGTTGCTTTGCCACTTTTCAGTGCAAACTTTATGAAAAGTCACACTTCACCGTATCAGGATCGTCAGTACTTTTCAGGCATGTTAATGTGAATTCTGGCTGCAACAATTAGGATCATTTATCTTGGTGTTTAAAATGCTATAAATACTTGTATGACAAGAATACACTTTTGTGTCTAAACTCCTCACCTAGTAGAATTTCAGTGGTAATCAGATAATGTAGATAAAAATAAAAATGTTATTAAATCCAAAAGTGCATAACACTGGGTGGTATCAGTGAATGAAAAGTATTTGATATGGTTTATACCTTTAGTGGTATCTTCTCTTTTTGGATCTCAGTCCCCAGTTATTGATGAAAGGACGTCTTACTCCCATTGCTCTTTACTCCCTCTCCAAAAATCAGGGAAAAAAAACCCGGAAGAACACAAATAAGCAGATTAGTCACCTATTGCATGAAACTACCCTACACTATAAGTACGGTCTGAAATCCAGTCTACTTTGATGCTTTTACTTCATACAAAAAACATCTCAGTAGGTGAGAGACATGTAAGAAATCTATCCTGGCTAACATAGGCATTGATTCCTCATGCGGTCCATGGAGAGAGAAGACACATCTGGAATTCAAAGAACAGAGATCAGGTATATCTTCATCTCTTCTGACTATTTGGAAAGGAAGCATTTCCAAAAGAAAGTTCATTATGTTTGAGGTGACTATCTGAGGGCAAAGGATTTAAGTAAGTCACAAAAGGAACTGCTGTGCCTTTATGTCATATCCACCTACCCATCCCATTCCTCAGAAGTGTGGTGGTTGCAGTTGCTCAGAAAACTTTCAAGCTACAAAAAGGTACTAGCTGAGCTAAGGTGTCTGCTGTCTTAATTCACAGTGTCTTTGGGTTTAGTCACACAAAGTTTTTAGGGCACCCATTTCAAAACATTACAGCCAAACACTGGAAAATAGGAAAAATCAAAACAATTGAAAAATTAAAAAAAAAATAAATAATCTGGCTTGCAATCACATAGCAAATAAGCTAAAAAACAGCTGGAGTCATTGCCCATATCTATATTCTGTCTTTGTAAGCTATAAACAAACTCAACCTTGGCTTCATCACACAGCTTCAGCAAAGAGGAGCTTAAATTCAAATTACCTCCTAATGGGTCTCACTTCCCACTAAACAAGCCTGCTGCATTGCTCCAGAATTAAGCCAGTTTATAGGAAGAGTGAAACACCAGAGAAGATGGGTTTGAGGGCTTAAACTGCTCATTACCACAACAAAATAAGCACAACCATGATGGGTATTTATGTAAGGGATTAGGTAACTCAAAGGTCTAATTTTAGCCATCTCTAGAAGGATGTAATGATACTTGCATTTCTAATTATGTGTGTATATATATATATATAATGGCCTTTAAATCTCTTTGTTTTCAATTATTGACTGCCTCAGGCTTTATCTGGATAAGTATATACTAAGCTCATTTTTAATATATATAAAATTACCTGTACAGCAAACAAATTTCTTGTTGGGCAGTCATAACTGACATCTTTCATAAGGCCTGAAATGTACAAATCTTCAGGCATATGCAACAGCAACTTAGCAATACACAGCTGTGTAACATCACAGTCAAGGAAGAAAATAGACAAAATTTGCCAGACAAAACTCAAGTGCTCAAACTAGAATTTAATATGATCATAATATTCTATTTTCTGTTATCATGCCAATGGGAATAAAAAAAAAGGCATTTTAAAAACTAAAAGAAAAAAATCCTTTGTAATTATCACAAGTGCTTAGAATTACAGTGTGAGTTCTTATTCAAAAGAAAACACGAATAATGGGACTACTCAGTATTGAGCTAAAAAAATGACTATGTCTCACTGAGTAAACTCCTACCTCAGAATCTCTTTAGAATTCAAAAGCAACTTGATTAATAGGGCAGACATTCACAATTTTACATTTACATGACTAGATCTGAAACAATGACTTTCATTATGTGCTTAAAAATTACAGTGCTAAAACAATTGTTTAAAACTTGCATGCACTGGCTTTATTATAGCCTGGTTTAGTACAATTATGAGGTTTTAATTTCATAAAAAAGATAAAAAAGAATGGCTTTAAAAGATTCTAAACAACTGAAAAGCTATCTGGTTTGCAGCTGTTTAGTTAAAGGGGTATTTAAAAGTGATCTGGTTAATATTCTGAGTCATCACAGCTGTCACAGAGACAGAAAGACGTCAAACCCCACGAGCACATTCAAAGCTACACCTTCATTGTCAAGTTCCCTGGCACAGACAATGCCTTCAGACTCTGAATGTTCAAGCCACAATATAGGCAAATTGGCAATTCTCCTTTTTTTCAGTTCCTCATAGGAAAAATAAATTCTTATCTCACTAATATTTTGTTAATTAGTGCATGCTCATAAGACATAAAAAGTATTGTCTCGCATCCAATAAAAATAGTTACACAACTAATCTCTTATACAGAACTGAATTTAGAACAAGCATGTTCTTTCAAAATGAAAGAAACTGATATCAGTAAGAGTTTTCTTCCAAATGTACTAACTTCAGGCTACTTCAGGTTTCTAGCATTTGAAATGCCTGGCTTTCAAATTATTTATTCAGTACAAAAGTTTGCCTTACCTAAGTCTCTGCTGGTTTATTTACTTCTGTTCATTTAAGATTACTTACTTTCAGGAATGGAAAGGAAAGGTCCACCACATGACTGAAATACAGGCTGTTCCCTTTGAAAATAATATTCAAGCTTACATAGATGGCACTAAACTTAAAATCATAGAAACACAGAACCAACTAGGTTGGAAAAGACCTTTAAGGTTGGACCTCAAGTACAGCCTTTACCCCAGAGCTGCCAAGATCACCACTAAACCATATGACTGAGGGCCTCATCTACATGGTTTTTGAACACTTCCAGAGACGGTGAATCTACCACTTCCCTGGGCAGCCTGTTCCAATACCTGATCACCCTTTCTGTGAAAAAAATTTCTAATATCCAATCTAAACCTCCCGTGGCACAGCTTGAGGCTGTTACCTCTTGTTCTGTCACTTCTTACTTGGGAGAAGAGACCAACGCACACCTGGAAATTACTTTGGTAAATCTTGAAGACTGAAGCTGAGACTCAATGTTCTATTCAATTGAAATTTAAGACCAAATATCCATAGGTTTATGCTATGTGTAAAAAAGAAGTTTTAAACTACTTTTAGAACATATCTTTTTTAAGATCCTTATGCTCGTATCCATTTTCAGGAACGAAGCTACATTCAAAGAAGCATCACCCTTGGAAAACAGTAAGTATGTCAGCCACTGTTTTCCAGTATTTTTTTCCAAAAAAAATATCAATGACTATCAGATAACATTTCATGAACATCTACTATCATTGGGATTTTAAATATTTATTTAGATATCTTCTCCCATAATTGAACTTTTTAAAAATGCAGATTTTGTCAAAGTGATTTCTCATTTCTTTTCATGCATTCAACTATGAGAAGGAAATTAAAACAGATGAGTAGTAGTGTCTAATGTCCTCTGAAGCGTACCTTTTTTCCACACAGGTGAAAGCAACACATACTGTCCTTATCTTTGGTGAAAAGAAGGGTTCAGAGAGTCCTTCTATTTTTTTTGATTTTTTAATTTTTTTTTTTTTTTTAAGGTCCCATGTACAGATTCTATGGAACAGAAAGAAAATACAATTCCATTTTAAAGGAAAACACAAAGCCTATGTTTTAATCAATAATTGTATTGTGCATTGAAGGAAAACCCCACTGCTTACTTTGTCACTGATTCTCTTTCATGCCATCATGTCTATTCTCTTTTAATTATCCAAGAAGCACTAGAATCTCACACTAACATCCTGCTTATTGTGGGAAGAATGAGTTGTCATGGCATACCGCCTTCTAATTCATGTGTCCAAAAGAGAACTGCATGATATAATCACTTTTTCTTCCTTTCATTATGAAGGAGTTCTGAAATTCTTTGAGTGGTAACATTTTATTGGCCAGTTATCATAGAATCATAGAATCACCTAGGTTGGAAAAGACTTTTGAGATCATCAAATCCAACCATATCTTACTTTTCTTCCCCTGTACACATTGCGAGTGTAAAAAAGCTGAGAGAAAGGAGGTGATAGAAAGGCTTTCAGGGACACAGAAACACTCACTCTCTGGCTCAAGAAGTACTAATATATAGGTATTTACTACTGACACTGGTCCCACTAAAAGTCTTAAGGACATGTCTCAGTCAAAGCCCTTAACCGGAAATGCCTAAATTTTACCCTTTAAAAAATTATCACATAGACGCCAGTGAAATTTTGTTAAAGAACACCTTTACAACAAACAGTTATTTACATTTTATCCAGTCTGCTATCAGAAAGTGCTTTGCCAAGTATAAAAAAGGAATGGTATTTACTGACAATATGTAAGAGTAGTAGTCCCTCAAAAACATTTTTCCTGTCAAACATCACCACACTAATAAAAAAGGAACACTTTTCCCTTTTTAATAAATGGTTCATTATGCTGAAGACTTCAGATCACTTATTAATTCACGAGTGACAGTTTGAGTCATCAAATATGCTAATTTGTGCACTAAATAACTAATTATAAAAATATTCCCTTTTACTGATGGAGTTCTTTCACCAATCAAGCTGACTACCTCTCTCCAGCTTTCAGTGTCAAATAAGTCAAAAGTTAGTGAAGAATGCTACAGCTTTTATACTATTATCAGAAAAACTAGAACCACATTTATCAACCAAGGCACTGTTACTGTACACTAACAATAAACAAAAAAGGGGTTTCTTCCCAGCTCTGTTTGCTTAGAATTCAAACAAGTAGAGACTGGAAGTATGCAAAGTGTGGTATATAACATAGCCTCTCCCTCTGTCATTTCCCTCTATCACTAATTAGAAATAATTCCTGAAAAATATATAGATATTGCTGTGCTTACCTTTACTG